CGGTTTTGTTGGAGAGGACCCCCGCGATCCCTCGGCCCCCGCCGGCTTGGGAGAGTCTCCCCCGTGGGGGAGGCCAGGCGAGGTCGTGTTGCCTCCCCTCGGAAGCAGGGGAGGGGACGAGGGCCGCAGGGGCCCCCAGCCGGCCGCCTCCACCCCCCCGACTGATGCTTTCGCTGGCCTCTCCGCAGTGCACGGGCTGGCCTCCAGCAACTCCCAGCAGGACCCCTCGGCCAAATCCCCCGACCCCTCCGCCGACGAGTCCCCGGACAACGACAAGGACACGTCCAGCGCCGGCGACTCCGGCAAGAAGAGGAAGCGGCGGGTGCTGTTCTCCAAGGCGCAGACCTACGAGCTGGAGCGGCGGTTCCGCCAGCAGCGGTACCTGTCGGCGCCCGAGCGGGAGCCCCTGGCCAGCCTGATCCGCCTCACGCCCACCCAGGTGAAGATCTGGTTCCAGAACCACCGCTACAAGATGAAGCGGGCCCGGGCCGAGAAAGGTATGGAAGTGACTCCGCTCCCCTCCCCGCGCCGGGTCGCGGTGCCGGTCTTAGTCCGGGACGGCAAACCCTGCCACACGCTCAAAGCTCAGGACTTGGCCGCGGCCACTTTCCAGGCGGGCATCCCCTTCTCCGCCTATAGCGCCCAGTCGCTCCAGCATATGCAATATAACGCCCAGTACAGCTCCGCCAGCAACCCCCAGTATCCGACAGCGCATCATTTGGTGCAAGCCCAACAATGGACTTGGTGAATTACCGAGAAAAAAACACACACACAAGAGACTGAGGCTCCAAAATCAAACCTGGGGGGGAGACAATATGAATATTAATTATTATTATTAATGATGATACATTTTCCCCCCGCTCCTATTTTTTTCCTCCTTTTTGGGGATTCAATTTGGTTCTCTTTTGTTTGGGTGGTTTTTGTGCGCCATGTTTACAGACATTTTTGCGCCATGCCAAGTGGTCCTGTCTACCTACAACTAAAAATAAAAATAATACTAGTCCTAATAATACGCAGTATGCGCTTGTGGTTTTGTAAAGTACGTTTTGTGTGCCGTAGAGTTGTTGTCAGTCGTATATAAAGTGGAGGACACTTTAAAAAATAGAGAATTTGATTTCCTTTTTTTTTTTAAATGAAACTTTACCTATTTATGGCCATGTATAAATTCTGACAACTATTAGCCTTTATTTTGTAAATATTTGTGGTTATTGTTGCCATAAGTAACATTCAGGGCGGTCTATTTTATTTTATTCTTTTGGTTGGGTGCAAATCTTTCCCAAATATGAAACAAGCAAAAAAAAAAATCATGTGGAGGGAAGAGAAATGTTTTGATCCTCTTCCGAGAAAGATCCCGCTCATCAGTGTGTATAAAAACCCAGGGGAAGCGCGCTGCGGGGAGGTTTTCGATTTTTTTATAAGAATTTTAATAAAAACGCTGTGTTTAAAAAAAAAAACCCAACAACAAAAGAACGTTTTTGTTTGACTTTGTGGCTAACACGGATTCACCGCAAGCCCTTTCGCGCGGCTCGGCTCGGACTGACCCTCGGATGATGTTGAGATCTGAGATTCTGCTCTCGGGGCTAGGGGGGTTGAATGGGGATTGTGGAATCTTGAAGGGGAAACACGTGGTGGGGGGAGTTAGAACTTTTCGGGCAACTTCGGAATCACCGCCCCCAAACTTTCCGTAGACAATTGGCTCGCTTCCCCCCCCCCCTTCTTCGTGTAAATTCTGCCTCGTTGTGTCTACTTGAGAGACAAAAGCGCTTGAGTGACTTTGTGAAAATGAGGGGGGGAAAAGCCCCAGCGCTCACTTAAAGGTAGGAGTGCCCTTGGAGCGAAGCAGCTTTTGATCCTCCTATAGCCTGAATGACTTTCCTGAGCTCTGAGCTTGAGTTAAGCGGCATGAGAGCGAAAAAAGTTCTCAGGCGCCCTGCAGCCGGGACGCAGCGTTTCGGGGTGGGTAGAAAGGCGGCTGGGGGGGCGCGTTTTCCCCGCTCTCTGCTCCTGCGGGTGCTGTGGGGGGCAAGTCCCGGGTGTGTGGTTGGGGGGGGGTCTCTCCAAACGCGACCGGCTTTGGAAGGGAAAGTTTGCCCTAAACCACGTCTGTGCACGGGGGGAATCGGGCAGGTGGCTACCGATCGCTCTTCTGCGGCGAGTGCCAACCCGTTTGGGCGAGTCGTGTGGCATTTTTGCAAACCAGTTTTCTCCGCGACGTGTCCTGACACCGAAATGTCCCTTGCGCGTTTACATTCGAAGATTAAAAGTGCCCTTTAAAAGACGCAGGGAACCGGATAGAAAGCGAATGGAAGAAAGGAGGGACGGGGGGGGGACTAGGTACCACTTTTTACCTCTCTGTTTTCGTTCCCCCCTTGCCTAGATCATACATGTGCGCGCACATGCGGTTTTAGGCGTACACATACTGAACTAGGCGCGGAGTTGGCCCCACTTGTCCCTTCTCTCCGGCTTCTTTTCAGCCAGGCACTTTTCCCCCTTTCCGAGTTGCAATTTGGCTCCATTTCTGAAAGTGTCTCTCTTACAGCCAAATAGGAGAGACCGCAGGCGTGGAGGGAGAGGGGGGGGATTGCGAACTGTGCGCGCTGAATTCCCAGCCGCGCTGGGAACGATCCGATTCAATT